GGGGGCTGGCACTGTGGGTGTCCCACACGCTGGGGCCATGCTCACGTCGTACTGTGCCTGCAGGTTCCGTGACTTCTGGCTCAGGAAGCCGAACACGCTGGAGAAATGCTCATTCCGGATCTGGCTGAAGACCTGGGAGAGGCACAGGGCGGTGGTGCTGGGCACCCACCCCCAGCTCCCCTCTGCTGGCACAGCACCCGGCACAGGTACAGGGGCTCTGCAGGCTGAGCTGTGCCCCCAGACCATGTTTCCCTGCTGCCTGTGCCCCAACCCACATCCCGAGGCCCAGCAGCACTTGGCTGAGAGGAAATGCCCCATCGGCCTCCCCCCTACCTGGGACCCTCCTCCCCAGAGGCCAGTGGGGACTCACCTTGTCCTGGGCGTTGAGCAGCACCTTGATGCTCTTGTCAGAAGAGGTGACATCTGGTCCAAAATCCACACTCCCTGCAGAGAAGAATGAGCAGCTGCTTTGCCCCAGCAAGAGCAACATCCACACGAGTGTCAGCCCTGCTGCAAAAGGCAGCAGAAACGAGCGATGCCCACCCAGCCACTCGGTCCAAGCCTCTCCAGCAGCCCCCACACCAGGGCTGTCCCTGTTGGCTGCAGCACCAGACCCCGGGTCTGACGGTGCCCGGCACAAACCCCAGGGACCCTCCCTCGGTTCTGTGGAGCCCCCGCTGACCCACCACACTTGATGCGGAAGGTGTCGTCCACCAGCCCCTCGTAGACCACCTGGGAGCACAGCGCCGTCACGTAGTCCGTGTCTGCAGGGAGAGCAGGGGCTGCTGAGGCCATCCTGCCCCCCGCCCCCCCGGGCTGCCCTCCCGCTGCCTCTGCCGAGCCAGAATTGCATAAATGCCTACTACACATTCTGTTTATATCCATGGGCAATACCCCCCGGGCTGCCCTCCCGCTACCTCTGTCCAGCAGGAACACGTTCCCAATCTCGGGCTTCCTGCCCGTCCCGTCGCCCTCGCTCTCCTCCTCCAGCTCCCGCCACAGCTCGTAGCTCATCTGCGAGGGCAGAGCGTGCCAGGGCCGGGCCGGGGCTGCAGCCCTGCCCCAGGGACACGGGCCTACCTTGGCACACCTGCCGATCCCGTAGGCTCTGCCGAAGGGTCCGTACAGGGAGTTCAGCAGCTGCAGGGCTCGAGCGACAGAGTTGATCCAGCGGTGATCTCCCTCCTGCAGGGACCACCAGGCATTGGGAGCAAGTCGGGGCAGGCTGGGAACAACTGCCACGTTGGGGGGCCCAGCTGGGACAGAGCAAGCTCCAGGCTTGGTGCTTCCAGCAGAAAACATTCACTGGAATAATGCTGGAATGACCAGAAGTGGCTCAGAGGCATCAGAGGAGGGGCAGCACAGGGGCTGTGTGCAGGGGAGGCACCACAGCCTATCAGAGCAGCCACCACCAGCAAAAGCCACCCAAAGGCCTGCGGTGAGGGCCAAGGGGACCAAGGAGGACTTCCCACACCCACTCCCCGAGCAAAGCTCTCCTGTCCCCAGCCCAACAGCTGAGCAGGGGGACACCTGCCACCCCGCAGGGCCACGTCCTGGCAGCACTGCCCCACTGACCAGGAAGTAGTCACGGAAGAACTCGGGCAGCTCCATGCTGATGATGTCTTCGTCCAGGGGGAGCAGGTAGAAGGACCATTCATCACAGGTGACATCTGTATTTGGGACAGGGAACGGTGACAGTTACCCTGCCTGTGGCAGAAACAGCCCCAAGAACTGCGACAGCCCCTAACAGGGCTGTGGGGAGCAGAGATGGGGCCTTTCCACAGGGATTTGTGGCAGGGAATGGCTCTCTCCTCCCAGAAAAGGGGGGAGAGGCTCTGATGCTGTGGCTCCTGCCCAGACACCCATCCCTGCCAGCACAGGGATCCCAATACCAGGATTACATCAGAATTCTGCAACGTCAGAGCCCCCCAACAAGGCCTGGGGAGGGGCCGGGGCAGGTGCTGCAGCCCCACTCACCACCAAACACTCCCTCCTCCTCCAGCACCATCTCACAAGCGTAGAACTGGAAGAGAAGGAAAACCCCTCAGGCCTGGCCAGCTCCAAGCAGGCAGGCAGTGCAGGGGAGCTGCTCAATGCCCAGCAAAGCAAGGTTTGGTTTTAACTGAACATTTCTGGGTTATGAATGAAGAGCTTCTGATGTCCGTAGCAGGGTGGGGGGCAGGAAGGCTGAGCAGACCCAGAGCAAGGGGGTAACTGGCAGCAGAGCATGGCTGGACTGACCTTCTGGGGGCTGAAGATGATCTTGTACTTCCTGCTCCTCCCTGACATCTTGTCAGCATTGACAATATCTGCAGACAGGAACCGTGCAGACCCTGCCCAGGCTGCCCACCCCCCTGAGCCAGCACAGCTCCTCCGGTGGGACGAGGTCCCACGTCCCCCACCTCCCAGGACCTGAAGTGCCCCACACAGAAGGAGAAACCCGGGTGTGGAGCCTGTCAGCCCGGCCCGCGGCCTCCCCAATCGCTCTCCCCAAGCCCACCCGACCCAGGCAGCCCGGAGCACAGCCCCGCAGCCCCAGGGCGACCGGCAGCAGCCCCGGGCCGCCCGCGCTCACCGGCGATGTACCGCATGGTCCTGACCCGCGGCCGCACCAGGAAGCAGAACCTGTGGCCGGAGCGACGGAGGCGACAGTCAGAGCCTCCCCTGGGTCCGGCGGAGCCAAATCCCGAGCTGGGAGCGGCTCCCCCCCCCCCCCCCCCCCCCCCCCGCGTCGCTGGCGCCGAGCGCCGGGCGGGTCTCCACCTTGTACAGCTTGTCCACCTCGTGCTGCTGCGGGGACAGCGGGGGCGTCAGCGGGCACGGCGGGAGCGGGGGCAG